CCGGCTGCGCCCCGCGCCCCCTCGGATCATCGCCCAGCTGCAAGCCCCGCCGCCGCTTCGGCCCGAGAGGAGAAACGAAACTCGCCCCGCCCGGCCCGGCCCGGCCCTCGAGTCTTTCCCTGCGGCCCCGCCCAATAAGAAGAGGGCGAGCTCAGCCCAGCCCAGCTGCGCTTCGGACGGCGCTCGAGCGCCTCGTGGGAGGGGAGGTCGCCCATTCCGGGTGGGGGGATTCGGGGGCGGAGCTCAGTCCCCCCCCCCCCGCCCCTCCACAGGAGCCTCTTTCTCCGGGGGACGGGACTGGACCCGTGTCTTCTGCCCACCCGCGACCAGCCATGGTCCTGGGACCAGAATCCCAAAAAAGCCCACCGGCTCCGAAGAGGTCAGGGTGGGACCCCTGCCCAGGCCATTCTGAGCCCCAGGGTCTGGCTCCCTCCTGTACAATGGCACTTTGGTGAGGATTGCCCCCAGCGAAGGCATGCAGGCGCCTCCAGCTCTGGGCCTGGCTCCCTGGGGCATTGGAGATGGCCCCCCTTCTCCCCGCCCTCCCCTCCTGAATTCTCTTCTCCACACTAAAGAGCACAGCTGTATAGTGAACAGCCTGAACTGACCCTCTGGGATTAACTGCGGCTCACCAGCATGGAACCTGTCGCCCTGCCATGATCTCAAAGAAATGGGTGCTACAAAAGCAAAGGAGCCCAATGAGCTTCCTTGTCATGCTCACCTTCCAGCTGGAGATCCTCCTTCTCCAAAACCTCCACATTCAGAGGCAGTTAATCTCAATACCAGAGTGAAGAGGCAACATCAGGAGAAGGCCTGGGCCTCTCTGCCCTGTTGTTGGCCCTCCAGAGGAACTGGTTGGCCCCTGTGTGAGACAGGATACTGGACTAAATGGACCCTCCCTTGGTCTGACCCAGCAGGGCTCTTCTGATGTCCTTCACAGGGAGAGGCCTTGGCTTCTATGCCCTGCTTGTTGGCCCTCCAGAGGAACTGGTTGGCCCCTGTGTGAGACAGGATACTGGACTAAATGGACCCTCCCTTGGTCTGACCCAGCAGGGCTCTTCTGATGTCCTTCACAGGGAGAGGCCTTGGCTTCTATGCCCTGCTTGTTGGCCCTCCAGAGGAACTGGTTGGCCACTGTGTGAGATAGGATGCTGAACCAGATGGACCACTGGCCTGATCCAGCAGGGCTCTTCTTATCTGTAGTTAGGGCTCTCCCTTTCATACTGGCTTTGCTCTTAGGAGTCTAATGGCAGCCTGACATGCGGCAGGTTCAGCTCCTTCACCTGCATTGTTTATGCAGTCAAATCCTCAGTACCACCAAGGTACTAGAACAGAGTGTCAAACTCTACTTAGTTTGCCATAGTTACAGAGGGGAGGGAAATTTCTACGGTGTGTGTGTGTGTGTGTGAATGGCTCAGTGTGTAACCGCTCTGTCTTAGGCATTGTAACTCTTCCTTAAGATACCTTCTTCCTAGAGGAACATCCTTGAGAACGAAGCTGTGCCAGCTTGCTATTGTAGGTAACAGGATCGTATATTCCCAGGGGGTGGTGTTAGTGAACGCAAGAGCTGGGTGGGATGGCTGAGATGTGCGATTGGTTAGGTTAGAGGGACCTTAGTTTGAACTGTCTATATCTTTGGATTTCCCCACCTGAACCTCAGTCCTGACACAGAACTGTTCTAACCTGGATCATGCTGATATCTCAGTCACTGCCAAAGCGAGTGTTGTTGGGAGTCCCTCAACCAGGAGTCTGACACAGGGGTGGCCAAACTTGCTTAACATAAGAGCCACATAGAATAAATATCAGATGTTTGAAAGCCGCAAGACATGAACCAATATTACATGTTTTTAACGGAAAATATGCAGATTTGCTTTTTATTAGCATTAAATGAGATGCCCAAAAATAAAAACAAGGGTAAAAACAAATATTGATAATATTTATTTGTCCAATGATATTTATTTCTATGCTAATGATATTTATTTGTCTAAGAGAAACAAAGAAAGCAATTAAATGGAGGGGGGAGAGGGAAGGAAGGGAGAGAGAGAGAAAAAGAAAGGTGGAAAGAAAGCAAATAGATGGGGGAAGGAAGGGGGGAAGAAAGAGGAACAAAGAAAGCAAATAGATGGGGAGGGAGGGAGGAATGAATGAAGGGAGAAAGGTAGAAAGAATGAAAGATGGGAAGGAGAAAGAGAAACAGAAACAAAGCAAATGGAGGGAAGGAGGGAGAAAGAAAACCAAATGGGGGAGGGAGGGAGGGAGGGAGAAAGGAAGGAAAAAAGAGAGAAAGAAATATGAAAAGAAAGCAAATAGGAGGGAGGGGAAGAGAGAGAGGTGGCAAGAAAAGAAGAAGAAGAGATTGGATTTATACCCCGCCCTTCACTTGGAGTCTCAGAGCGGCTTTCAAACTCCTTTCCCTTCCCCTCCCCACAACAGACACCCTGTGAGGTGGGTGGGGCTGAGAGAACTCTTTCCAGAACTGCTCTTTTTCAAGGACAGCTCTGCCAGAGCTTGTGACTGACCTGAGGTCACATCAGCAGGTGCAAGTGGAGGAGTGGGGAATCAAACCCGGTTCTCCCAGATTAGAGTCCGCACACTTAACCACTACACCAAACTGACTCTCTTTGTCATTTTATCCCATGATTTTTGAGCTTACGTAAAAGCCTTTGATGAGGAACTTTATCAAAAGCTTTCTGAAAGTCAAAGTGGTTGCTGTTCAGTTGCACAGTCGAGTCCGACTCTTTGTGACCCCATGGACCAGCTCCCGCCAGGCCCTCCTATCTTCCACCGTGCTCTGGAGTTTGCTTAATTTCATGTTTGTTGCCTCGATAACACTGTCTAACCATCTCATCCTTTGCTGTCCCCTTCTTCTTTGACCTTCAATCTTTCCCAGCATCAGGGTCTTCTCCAGTGAGTGCTCCCTTATCATTTGGTGGCCAAAGTATTTGAGCTTCAGCTTCAGTATCTGGCCTTCCAGGGAACAGTCAAGGTTGATTTCTTTTAGGAATGACTGATTTGATCTTCTCGCAGTCCAGGGGACTCTCAAGAGTCTTCTCCAGCACCCTAATTCAAAAGAATCTATTCTTCAGCGCTCGGCCTTCCTTACAGTCCAACTCTCGCAGCCATACAGTACTACTGGGAATACCATTGCTTTGACCATACGGACTTTTGTTCGCAGGGTGATGTCTCTACTTTTTATTATGCTGTCAAGGTTTGCCATCGCTTTCCTCCCAAAGAGCAGGTGTCTTTTAATT